ATTTTAATGAATACATTATTTAATCTGCCTAATAAAATTATTTTTCTTATTTATGAATGGTAAAACAAAAGAATATTCTTTATTCACACTCATTATTCACGTTTTCACTAAATTAAAAAAACAAATTATTAGGGACAAGATATTAGGCGTTCCAAACAAAATGTCTGCCCATGGGTAATGACAGATGACAGGTTATGATATGGCAATAGTGTGGGGCTGACACATACTTTGATTACTATACGGGGCAAGAGAGAGGTCCGACACGCCCAACATAGGGCGCGGCCATTTTGATTCCTATGACACAGTTTATAGCTAAAGAATCAGATCGCTCACTCTGCGTCGGCACTTTTGATCTCAATGTTCCAGTTTATATAATGCGCAACACGGATAATACAATATATGACAACCGCCTATAATAAAACAGCAGTCTTCTGCGTATCCTGAATTTGTATCCCTGGAGTGGATGTTATTTTAGAACTTTCAACTGGCCCGAGTGAGCTAACTGATTCTTTAGCAATAAACTGTGACTCCAAAAATAATATTCACTGACACTGACAGCAGCAAGCAAAATATCAGGTGCGTTTTAATCATCCGCCTCTGCTTCTGGAATTGTCGGTTTAGTCGTTTTAACCTGTCAGATTAAAACAAGAAAACCGACAATTCCGAAGCACAAGCGGATGATTAAAACGCACCTATTAAAAATATTGCGCCAAGATTTAGGCAACACGTAATAAGGGTTCAAAATGGCGAAGTTTTCTATCTCCTTTTAAAAGGCACTCAGAAAGCTGCGCAGTGCGACCATTCTCCGTATAGTAAAAGAAAATCAAAGTATGATGATTTGACAGGGTCAGTGATATAGATACTTGTATATAGATTGATCATCCATGTTTTTCAAAATAAACATAAGCTTATGCCTTTAAGCAAAATGTAGGTAATTATTTTTTTACTATATTCAAAGGCTGAAAATTGGTTTTAAAACACTAACGTAACACATTTAAAACACTTTGACAAGTCTTTGGAATGCCTAATAGATAAATCGGGGTTATATATTTGAATTTATATAAAGAAAAAGGCTACTATTAAAGCGGACGGTTTACTAGCGCCATCTGCTTACATCTTACATTACAATCACCCAGTCAGTTCTTTGCAGACAAAAAAAGTTATATTGAGTTTATTATTATCATTGGTGTTTTTTAACGTTTTTAATCTTCGATGAAGAATTACGTGTTACTTATTTTTTTACACAAAATGTCATAAAAATATACCCAAAGGAAAGCATGATAAGATCGAAATGTGACGTGCAGGCTCACGTCTTACGATCAGAACCAGACTTCCATATTGATTTCTTAACTAAAACCTTTTTAGAAGGGTCTTTATTTTGTTAAGAACTTCGAGTTTTTATTTCCTTTTCAAGACGACGTAATAAAATACTGAGACACTAAACATTTTGAATAAAAAACTTTGTGCATACTTAACGCTAAATTTAACCTTGTAAATAGATTCAAATTGCTTTCATGTAAATGCCTTCAATAATATTTTATGAAATTTTAACTATGTATAACTATTTTTTTTAACGGAATTTGTGTCACAAACGATTGTGAATTGAATAAATACTTCATAAATTGTAGGTATAACTTTTCCTGTTCCTTTTTTGAAGTACTTTATTAGCGTACGCTATACACTCTTGGTCATACAGCCAGTCATAAAATGGCAGAGTTAAATTTACAAAATCCATCATTAAACAGAAAATGAATAAAAAGTTAAAAAAATTAAATATTTAATTGCAAATGACAGTATTAAAAGGGCACGCTCGCTTCTCGCCTAGGGACCCTTCAAGAGCATACATTAAAATGCAAATATGCCCAGCCAATGAGAACGCTCCGGCAAAAATATAATCGAGCAGTCATAAATGTTTTTGGAATTTAAAGCGTACTTATCAACTTGAAAAATGCTCAAAATATACAAGTATTATTTGGCAACATTGTTTATGTTGTAAAATATCATAAACAGTTCTAATAACAATATAGTATCATCGTGTGTGAGTGAATTCACCTTTTTGGCAGTCAGTTAATATTTATATTTTGGTAGTGAACCCGACCTTGCCGATATTTTCCTGTTTTTATTTTCCTTATCAATCAATAACAGGCCTATATTTTGTTTATATGCAGTAATTATAATTCAAATTTATCCATACATACAAGTTTTAAATCCATAAATGTCTAAGCGTTTTAAATCAAAATTCGCATGTTATGGTCGTAAGAAAAATAGTGTATATAACTTGTTGAAACTACTATAGTAGTACCTACGAAAATGACATTATTCTCACAACCAAGTATATGCAATGGAATATACAGTGAGCATCTTAAGTCTTACCCCCCCTAACTAACTCGTTACTGGGGTCTTGTTAGGAAAATCGCCGAGACAGGTCGATTTTTAATTTCTACAATGTACATTTTTGCATGATTAGTTAACCCTTACTGGAGGGTAAAAACCCTTTCGAAAAATTTAAATGGCATGGGGTGGTGAGTGATAGCTCATTTGAAAGGGGGTTTTATTTTCTATTCAACCGTGCAAAAAAATTTGAAATTTGCATCATTACATTTTGATTTATTAATGTTTAAAAATAACAAAACCTCACAAAATAGGAAAGCAACTAGACTAACAGTGACCTTCTAATGGCAAAAAGTCTTACTTCACGTCTGAACCAAAACCGAAGTCATGCAGGGCCGAATTTTAATTCTAAGGATGAGAGCGCTACGTTAATTTCCGTTATTCTGAAACAACAATTAGTCGAGAATTAATGAAGTAAATTTAAAATTTTTTTACACGGTTGAATAGAGAATAAAACCCTCTTTCAAATGAGCTATCACTCACCACCCCATGCCATTTAAATTTTTCGAAAGGGTTGCTCCCCTCCAGTAAGGGATGAAATTAAGGATAAACTATTCATACAAAAATGTACATTGTAGAAATCAAAAATCGACCTGTCTCGGCGATTTTCCTAACAAGACTCCAGTAACGAGTTAGATAGGGGGGGTAAGACTTATGGTGCTCACTGTATGTATTTAAATGAAATATTTTTTATCATTAGTAGAGGAAGGAACTTTCATGCATTCGTGTGATTTCTGCACTCGGTTACGCCTCGCCGATAAACTTGAACATTAATGCGAAATATGTTTGTTACGTAATATACAGAGTTTTCAACAATAACCTTGAATACAAGAATTTAAATAAAAGTTGTCTTTTTTAGTGATTTAATGACAACTAATTGTCAGTTCTGTCAAATACGTAAGGGGCATTATTTTAAGGTTATTGCCAAAGTTAGCTGTTTTAATTTTAGTAAATTGGTAACATCAATTTTATCACTTGGGATACTTAACTATATTTTTACATTATTAGAAACCTATATAACACAATCGTTGATGGTCGTTTATCTGTGTACACAAAATTTACTCAGTTTTAAAAACAGAATATGATTTACCTTGGCAAATGCTTTCTTAAGGTATGTGAATATTTCTCTAGAGAAATAGTCAATATTTGGTCTAGTGAAATAGTCGTCCCAAATATAACACAACCTTGATTAATATTCTGTTATTTTTGTTGTTGCTAAATTTCTTGAATATTTTACAATTTGATTCTACATAATTTTGGCATTAATAATCAATTGATTAAAGCCCTTGAGCTAAAGCTCTCGGGCTCTAATCAGATTATTAATGCCAAAAATTATGTCTCATCCAATTGGTATTGAAATATTCTCGAGATTTAGATTCAACAAAAATAGCTGACTATTACCCTTGATAATTTTTGAACCATCTGCAAAATAATCCCCATTATGTTATTTCCAACAAAATAGATAATTCGTAATTTCCCTTGTCGATCGTTTCCATATTCAGTATGCATGCGTGAGCAAATCAAAACCAAAATACATACGTGTCTCTAATCCCAGATAATGCCAAACACAAAGCTATAATCAGGTCCATAATAGGTATATGCAAATATATTACGGGCTATTACGGCGGCCGACCACGACATTAATAAAATAATAAATCGTCTCACTTTGTAATTTATTGTAATTTATTTTAATCTCGCTTTGAATGACTCGTAATAACATACTAGCTGGCCGCCAGTCATGGCCTGTTACATTCGGTTTTTGTGGGTTGATCCCTTTGTGATATAAAATGCTTTTAAAAAGTTCAGATACGTCAATTTTTTCGTTACACTTCTAATGGTGGTTAGTGACGTGGTGAAACTAGGCCAGAACAAGGACTGGACTTGTTGAAGACAAATATTGGAGTGAGAACGAAAATATGGTCTTCACTCTTTTTGCAGCCAGTATCAACAACGAAAGTAACCATCTTGATTTTATAACTAAGAAACAATTGCTCATCGGGACCTTACTATCTATCCAACTATATCGGTTATAAATAATTTTGCAAAAGTATTTAAAAAGCGGTAAGAAAAGGTTGGTTAAATTTTTAGATGACCATCACATTCTTTCAAAAACTCAGTTTGGTTTTATTAAAAACTAGAGTACTGAAGATACCATATTAAGCCTGTTTGAACCCGTGATTGAAGCCATAGACAGCTCAACGAAATGTCTTTCAATTTTTACCCAAGACCTTCGATACTGTTTCACATAGTAAACTTATAGATGAAATGAGTAATTACGGTATGCAAGGAATAGTATTAGGCCTCTTCAATCATTACCTAGCAAACTCAGAATCGGTGGCTACGATAGGTGTACCCCAGGGGACTGTAATAGGTCCGGTTGTATTTCTAATATATGTAAATATTTTTAACACAAAAAATTTCAAAGGAAAATTAGTTTGATATTCTGGTGATACAGCACTTATCTTTACTGGGAATGTAATTTTTTTTCTGCACTCGTAACGTAATATACTACAATCGATATTAATAATTATATGTTCTGTTAAAACACCATAATTTTAACCTTCACATTACTTATTGTTAAAACTGTAACCTTTTATTTTTTGTTTCAGGGCTCTGACGCCAGCTCGGTGATATTTGCGTCGACGCCGGCGTCGCGTAAGCACGAATTTCCAGGTGCCCTGCCGCCTAGTCTGCCCAGTCTGAACCATGGTACGAGCAGTTCGCCGGTACCAGCGCCTACGCCGCCGAATTTACCAGTGCCGTCTCCCGCCCCCGCCCAACAACCGCCGCAACATCCACCTCAGGCGATCGCCTCGGCCTCCGTCTCTTCGGCGGCCAGCGTGGTCGCCCCTTCGCCGGCTACCGCGGCCGTCGTCAAACCCGCGCAAGGTGAGTACCAACCATTTTATTTTATAATTTTTGCGGTAACTAAAAATAATTTGACAGCTCCAGATCCAAATTAAATAAATGGCTTATGCAAATCTATTTTAAATGGAATTTTAACACCAGTTTTTGTTTTCAAATGTTCTTTAAAATACTTTACTTTAAAATACTATAAAATAGGTATTTTCCTTTAAAATACTTTTAAATTCTTCACTTTAAAATACTTGAAAAGCTTTGAAATACTTTGAAATCATTGAAATACTTTGAAATAAACATTATATTCATGAAAGATAAGACTATTCTTTTATTCATTTACTCAATAACAATACCAAGAAATAAAGATACTAAATATCCTTTTAATTTACATTTATCAATAATGTTTAATAAGAATATTTCAAGAAAAAAACTTACACAAATACAGCAAACCAGAAATACTGGATAAAAATTGAATTTTAATGTTATTGAATTTCTGTTCAACGGCCCAAAAATCTTTGATGTTATTTAAAAAATAATTAATTTTAATAGTTTCAAAAAAGAAATATATTCAACAAACAATACCTCCAGATAAATTTGCTTTATATTGTTGATTTTTTTTTAATCGCCTTACTCTATCAAAAATAATTATCAAGAGATTACTTACTGGCCATTTGATCATCACTCTTGAAATAGTGAAATTAAAATATTAATTTAAAATTTATTAAATGGCCTTGAATGGCAGTTACATTGTTTAACATTTGTTAAAATGCTCTACAGAATTATTATTGTAGGACCAAGTTTTTTTGTGCAAATATCATTAGCAATAAAATTTAAATTTCTTCCTTTGTTTTGTTAAAATTGCATATAATATATTCTTTCTTATTACTGAGGCCCTTCCTATGGGGCCTCAGTATTGCATTCGTGCAGACGAAAAAAATTTCTGACCCCCATATTTTAAAACTTTTTTCATGTCCAAAAATGCAAAAAAAATCGTCTGGGCGTCTGTGTGTATGTATGCTGGCACGATAACTCTAGAACGAAAGTTCTGATTGACTTGCGGTTTTGATTTTCTTGAATAATTACTTCTAACTTTGAACCCTATTGATTTACAGAATTTTCGGTTTATCCTAACTACTTTAATATCAATTTTCTTAAAATCCGCCTATACATTCCTTATGTGACAATTTTAGGAATTCCAATTATTTATAACGCCAACATTCCTAACATTCTGTACATTCCATAAATTGCAAACATTCTCTAACGACCTGTCAAACAACAGCTGTTGATAGTAAAGTTGAAATTTCTAAGGCGGGTTGCGACCTTCATACTTGCAACCATAGCCATTTTGGAGGCTATTTTTATTCGAAATTAGTCGCCAAGCCTGCCAATTCATGAAAAATATATAAGCATATTTTTAAAAATTACTTTTTTATGGTGGTGCTATTAAGCGTACTACTATTTCGTCCCTAGCCACAAAAACACCTTCATCAAATTTACTGGCTCTCTGTCGCAACTCCATAGAATAATTAACCGGCCATTTTATTTGGCAAAAATCAGAATAATGCTTGGCTGTGCCTGTCAAATATCAAGATGTCAACTGTGATGTGTAAATGGCTCTTAAATGTCAAATTATTTAAAAATGTATACTTCTTTTGATATTTATTGCAAATAATTTATAGTGTATCTCAATTCAGGCTTTCCATAAATAAAGGTACAGCAAGACAGATAATATATTGTTCTTATACAAAGCACTTTTTTATTATATAAAAGAGAGTTAGGATATAATGCTGGTTTTTTGTAGATCATTTTAATCATACGATTTTGGATTACATATTCAATAAGCGAATTGTAAATAATAATTAGTAAACTCCTAGTCATAAATTATCTCAATTCATAAAATTTAAAAATGAATCTTCTTACCTTGGGATTTTAATGACGTAATGTGATCACCCATTTCAAATTTGGATCAATTATGATACCGAGGTATTTTGTTGTGTTTTTCATTTTAATTATATATATCATTTATTTATATGTTGAAAGAAGGCCTTTGTAAATTACATTGCTCTCTATGGATCTACTTTAACACAAAAATAGTTTTGTGGCTATAAGTTGCAATAACATCAAGTAATTTTTTAAAATGAAGTACATGATCTTAAAACAGAAATAATTTATAATAAATGCGGGTAAAACGAGAGGTAAAATAACAATAAATTAAGGGAAATACTTAAAAAGGGCAGGTTTAAAGAGTATTATCACAAGAAAGTATATCCGTTCGTTTATTTATCAAGTATTGTTTGAGGTTACTTTTGAATACATTTATTGTTTTTTTTTTATTTCTGAAGGCAGTCTATTTTAAATTTTTTAAACCTTTAATAAAAATTGTATTTTGGGAACTTTTAGTGATGGCTTGCCGTACATGAAAGTCAGATTGGCTTCTTGTATTATAGTTGTGATATTGCGAATTATATTGAATTTTTTCTAATAGATCTGATACGATGGTACTATGTCATTTTTATTTTATAAATAAATATCAGTCATGTACTGAACATAATTCTGAACTGAAAGCCAATTTATTTTTTTTTAACATAGTTGCAATACTCATCCTTCTGTCCCTTATTAATAGAATATAAATAGGCAAAGTAAGGAGCCCAAATATTTTACATGAGCAGGTTTAAGAGGTAAAGGGGCCAATTATTATTGGACAAATTGCTCGAACAAGTTTTTAAACCGTAATCAAAAGGCGATATAGAATGGTTTTAAAAATCAAGGCTTGTGAAAATCATCACATGGTTTAACCTAAGCAATGCCAATGTTTCACAAACCAAAAAATTCAACGTCCTAATACTACTATCGGCTTTCGGTATTTCGTTCCAAGTTAAATCATTTCTCGTTTTTGTTACGCTACGAGTTTACCCTTGGGGGCCTCAGTCTCGATAAGGTGGGAATCACCATTTTAGCGTCTCTCGAATTCTCAAAGCATTCATATAATTTCCAAAATTATGTCATAACACGTTTGATATTCTTCTTTTAAATTCAATAGCTCAATTTTGTATGCCAGTTAATCATTATTTTATTAGTGTATCAACCATGTCTACATATCTTTTTTAATATTTTTAGTCATCAAAATTGAAGACACTATCTGTCAAACATCATACTCGTTGTCATGGTAACCCCTTTCGATTTTTCTAAAGAAAGTGGTAACTGGATTATGTTCTCGTCCCAAGATTTTCATGTCATTCATTCGTCTTATCTCACTAAATATTCAACTTCTGGTGTGATGTTTTTTCTTCATAATAATTGATACCATGCATACTTCTTATTCGTTTTAATTCCTGCTGTTTATCTCTCTCGTATTATTTTGAGTTTACCATTTTCAAATTTGTATTTTTTATGTCATCTACAATTTTTTTACTGGTGCTGCATTAATGCTTCAAGTTAAAACCAGTTGAATGTTAATGAGCTAGAAGTTATCTTGCTGTCAGTTTATCAATCAACATAAATTTTTCAGATCTACTTATTTGGCCATTGTAATTAATAAATGAAATCAGATAGACGAATCGAATATATGTTTTTCATCGTAGAACTCGAACTATTAAGATTGTTTCAGTTTTCTTTACGTAATCGACATCGACTAAAGGATTTTTAATAGTCATTTTCTCTTTTGAGATACATTCTGCAAATTCCGCTGACCTCAACTTTTATCTTAAATTGCTTAACACCAAAAACGGCAATATAATCAGGATTCTTAATCTGACATTAGTAACATTTTTGTCCTTTTATTGCAAACGTTCAACACAGGCGGCATTCCTTCTTTTTCCATCATCAAGACAAATTCTTTCCCCATATACAGCGGTAAAGATTTGTTAAACCAAATAAGACACTTGCTAATTTAGAGAAGTTCACAATGCAGTTACAATTTTTCATACCCAATTTATCAATAAATAAGGTTAATAAATTATCATTATCAGATTTTGATTATGTCCATAAAGCGAAATATTGATCAAATTGTTATTCGAATTTGCAAAATTTCCATTTATAATTTATGTATGGTTAAATAAATATTTAGTAGAGTTATTTTGTAACATGTTTTTTTTATGCATTCAGCTACATATTTGTTTCAATTCCATTAAAATATATAATTTTGAATTAATGAATAAACAGAAAATAACTCGAAATGCAATTTAAATATTTTAACAAGGGTATTTCAGTTTAATTCTCTATTTCATATAGTTAGGTTGTTAATTTACTATGATTATAATGTAACCTTTTAAATTAAATAAATTTAGTTATTTTAAATTAATATTTTGAGTCAATATTACTAAAAAGTAAAATTGTATGGTTAAGCCATTACTTAATCTTTCATTGGAAATTATTTAAATAGTTAAATATATCTAGTAATTAATGGTTATTTAACGAAAAAGTGTATTAATAAGGGCGACTAACAAGCAGAGCGAGCGCGTTAATGTTCGAGATTGTTAATCGCCATTTTAATTCACGAGTTCGTTACAGAACTTTTCCGTCGACCGTACTTTTCAAAAATAGTGACATTTTACTTTCAATTTTTATTTATAACAGTTTGCTTTTATCAGGCAATAAACTTAACGATATTATATTCGCAGTTTCTGCCACTTCTGGTCACTATCTTCGTCGATATCCATCTTTTGATTTTAAACTATACGTGAGAGTTTTTGAATGTAAAGAAATTAAATAATGACATACAATGATTTCAAATGTTATGTATGTTTGGTTGCCTACACCATAGGTACACGCTTTTAAAACGAATGTCGAGAATAGCGAATAGCTCGCATGTTGCTAAAGCGGATACGTTTTTTATAAAACGATAGCCGAGGATAGGGCCTCTGGCCTCAATGTCAGTTTTGTTCTAATAAGTGGATTTGTAGACTTTCATTTCATTGTCCTGTATTATTGCAATAAGAAGGAAAGATATACTAATTATCTATATTTTTTATTTCCAGATCCACTGCCGCCTCCGCCGATATCTTCGATAGCGAGCGTCGTACCGCAACCTCCACCCGTTACAATGCCGAGCGTCCCGACGGCCGTATCGATGCCGCAACCTGCCGCCGCTCCAGTGGCGCACCACCCCTCGATTCCAGCCGCCCTCGATTCGACGAACAACATCCCCGGCGGTCATGCGATGCGTACTGAGAGCCCAGCCGTTGCAACGTCTGCCAACGTGGCTGTGGCACCTTCGCCAAATCAGTACCACCATCCAGCATCTTACCAGCACCAGGTGAGCAAATTATATACGGTATTTTATTGAGTATTATGCCGTTGGTGCCGCAAGAATAGTTGAAATTGGAGAACAATCTCATAGACACGTTATACAAGTAATTTTAAAAAACCGACTTCAAAACCGTGTAGATTCTCTTAAAAATTTAAATTTTTGATTTTCTCATAGATTATCAGGTCCTGACTAATTGTATACGGATCCACCAGTGAGGTATCACCATTCTAACAAAATTTTTTTTATAGAAATCGGACAACACAGTAAAGAATTATCTCTGAACATACATGAAAAAAAAATATTCCGATGAATTGAGAACCTCATCCTTTTTGAAGTCGTTTAATAACCTTATAGATCCTATAAACAAATCTATCAAAAATCTATGTCAAAACTATAAAAAAAAATATCAAAGAACTATCAAAAAATCTACCAAAAATATGTCAAAAATATCTTGAAAATCTACCAAAAATGTATTCGAAACTTTATCAAAAATCTATCAAAGATATATCAACAATATATATCATTAATATATCAAAAATCTATTGGAAATCGATCAAAAATGTATCAAAAAATTTATCAAAAATTTACCATCAAAAATTTATTAAAAATCTATCAAAAACTATAAAATAACTTCTATTGAAATCGCTATTCCTGAGGTAGACCGAATTTACTGGCCCAGATTAAGAAGAAAGATGTACAATACTATTGTACAACGCTAATAAACAGAAGAGGAAGATTTTATGTGTTATTCATTATTATTATTCTTTTAGCAAACCCCCTTATACACTCCATACGCGACAACGGCCGCCACTGCACCACCACCTCATGCCGCTTCTCCTTACATGTCGACACCTACGCCGCTGACGGCACCTGCTGCAGCTGCGGTGTCTGTCAACGCGGCGCCGCCTCCACAGATGGCGCCACAGGTAGTGGGCAAGGCGACGGTACCGCCCCATCACGAAAGGGAAAAGACGTTAATGCAGCCTTCGCAGAGGGGGCCGAGCCCCATGAGAGAAAATAGGGAAAGGGAGAGCTACAGGTAAGAATTAATTATATTTTATTTTGTTACTAACTTAATAATAATTTTAAAATATAACCATTACGTGTTGGAATTTTTCCTAAAGGTTACGTATCACAAGAACTTGGAAGTACTTAACGTTTTTCGTATTTAAAACTATTTTGCATTGTTGGAAACTAAATACGTTATGCTTATGGGATCTAATTGTGCACTGGGTAATATGGTTGTGCTTAAAGTTTTCTAAGCAATCTTCATAGTCTTCGAACGTCAATTTATTTTTAACTACTTTAAATTTAACCCCCTTTGACTTTTTGTTTACCCCATATTTCTTGAATTGATCGCCATTCTAGCTTTACTCATATTTTTTTCTTTAACCTAATATTAAATGTGCTATTCTGATTTTTTTGATGCAATTAATGTTATTATCTTTTACAAAATATTCCATTTTAGAGTGCAATAAACTTTTTTATTGTGTGAAATCATTTTAAAAATGTAAATGGCTATCGAAAATTTTGAAGAAATCACGTAGTAATGATTGGAGTTAAATTCAAATTATTTCGATCGGAAAACATTTAGTATGACCCCGTAGATGATAAAAAAGGATCAAATGCATTTAATATGTTTAATGATAACTTTATGTGAGTCATAAAAACATCAAATCCATTATTATTTATGTTATTTTTATGGCCACAACGTTTTTTATATTAAAGACTGTAATAACATTTTCTAATAATATATCATAAAAACAGACATAATAGTTTTACAAACGGCTCCCATAAAATTACAACTTAAACATAAACAAATAAATAATGGAATATTTTAATATTTAATAACTGACTATTTTTTTAAATCGTAAATGAATAATAAATATATAAATAACTTTCTTGGCACTAATTGATACAAAAACCCCAGTGGGTGCGAGTAAACAATCTTTAAATTTATTCACGCCTTGATTATTAATTTGATTACTTTGGCATATTATGTTGAAACATTTTGTAATAAAATTAGCATACAATTAACTCAGTTGAATAATAAAATATCAGACCAACCAAGAGAAAACATATACTTATTATTTTAATTACAGATAATTTAATTCCATTGTTAATATATTTTTAAACCATAATTATGTTTTTTATGTCAATATCAATACCCTAGATAGAAGTGTATATTAAGATAATATTTATTTTAAATTATTAATAGATTTTTCTTCTTAAATTACTTTTAATTATCATATTAATTAATTTTCAAACTCAGCTAAATTATATTTTTTATGAACATTTTATTTTTTTTTTCAAACCATTGTTATTTTTTTTGTAATGGAAATTATGACTTCCATTCAAATGCAGCTTAGTCTTAAATTGGACCTTTGTTTTAGAAAATTAATGCATTTTATACTATAGGAATTGTCATAACTTTGGTTGATTATACTTTGAGGCAATAGAAGTCAAAACCCTAATATAGCTCTTTACTTGACGCTGTTTTGGAAGTCACCTAAAACTGTTAGTGATATCTGATGAAATGTCTAGGATATAAGACAAAAACATAGTAAGAGGGTACGAAAAACTTAGGAGTTTTAGCATTATTAGGTTCTTAACTATAACCGATACAGGTAGAGATAGAAATCATGTTTAAAATAAAACCTCTAACTTAAAGAAATCTTTTAGAACATTGAAGAACTGCTCTCCTTACAACACAACACTTTTTTATTGTCTATTAAATCCTCAGCTATAAAATTATGTTTGATTTTCAGTAATGTCAGCAGTTTGAGCAGAACCAGCGTAACGACAACGCTCAGTAGTTGTCCCCCGCCCTCCACCACAGTGTCTTCTAGTCTAGCAACAAGTAATCTGAGCAAGCCTTGGACGAGTAGCGCCCAATCGGTTCCAGTATCGATGTCGGCGTCGCAACCTGTGGCTCCCGCTCCGCCTACTCAATTGAGTCCCGCCCCGCCGAGACCGACTCCGCCTATGCACTCGTCATTCCCGAACGCTCCCATGTTCGCGGCACCTCTACCTCCGCCCGTTTCGAGAGCTAGTCCCATGGCCGTGCCCACTGCCATACCGCAGGCCAATCCAAATCCGTTTTCGGCCGAGAGTTTGTTCCAGAGCAACAAATATCCCACGAGTAAGTATTTTCAACGTACTTTATTATACATGCTATTTCCAAAAATATATTTTTATATGGCCAGTCTGAAAAAAAAAAACATAATATTTGGTCGTCCATTATCATATCTAACAAAGAATATTAAAGTTCCCTTTTAAGCCCTATAGTCACTAATTCGGTCCAAATTAAACTGTACAGTCATTTGAAGGTTTATTTTGAAATATATGCATAAATAAGCCTGCCTGAAACCAAATGGCCATCCAGGTCATTGATAAATTGTAAGAATAGTAGTGGCCCAAGATTTGAGCCTTGAGGCTCGCCTGATTTTGAAATATATTTGTGTGATGAATGCATGGCTATTGTAGAAAACAAACTGCTGCCTATTTCGAAAGTAGAACTGGAAGAATATTATTAGTAACATAACTAGAAACACTTTTTTAAATAGTTTTTAGATTATCTCCATGCATCTTTTGTATACTATTATTATATACTTTTTTTTTCTGGTACCAATAAAGATTTATTTCTTTTATACTCTGTGATCTACATATTGAAATTGTGAGGACTGATATCAATAACTTTATTTTTAAACTAATTTAAACCTGGGAAATTTTCAATGACTGCCCTCCTAGCATATCATGGTTAAGACAGTTCGTAAATGTTACTGAATGTCAGAAAAAAAGTGCACATCATTATCCAAATTTAACATTTGCTAATTATATAATATGTTTTAGATCAAGCTGATATGTTGCGAAGGGAACTGGATAGCAGATTTTTGGCTTCACAAGATAGATCATTGGGAGTGGCACCTCCGCCGTATTTAAGGACGGAAATGCATCAACATCAACATCACCATACACACGTACATCAGCACACGACGTCCTTATTGCCTCCACCTGCAGCGTCGAGTCTCTATCCCTCTCAATTGGTAAGTAAATCATAAAAATCTGGTGTGTCCAACACATGACTTTCCTGTCTAGTATTATAGACTTTTTCTGGTTATTTTGCGCATCATTTTTTATATATTTATATTCATTGTCAACGAAAATACTGAAAAATTAAAATTAAAACAGTCAAAACGGATAGGGGATCCCAAAACGTGAATATATTTCGAAAATACGAGAGCGAAAAAATGATAATCCCTATACTTTCCTTATCTGTACACAGACAGGAAAATAAAAAAACATGATTTATTAATTGTGTCTAAAAAAAATCCATATTCATAAAACGCATTCTTTTACGTCCATACTGTTTTACGTCTAAAATTCTTTTCTGTATGAGCCCATAATTTTTTCTACAGTACGGCAAAATTGTAAAAAAAATTCATTTAAATATTTACCATTTAAAAACTACTAAAATAAAACATAAAATATAAATAAAAAAAATACATAACTAAGAATTTTTGAACATTTATTTTTAATATATTTAGTTATTTCTTTTTTAAATTGGTACAAATTCTCACTATTTCTAATATTTGTTGGTAATTTCTTATATTCGTCATCTCCAACATCTTTGCACTCGTCCTCTATTTCTTCAATACCCTAGTATACATTAAGTTTTGAATCCATTTACCTTATTTTTTTTTTTTTTATTTTCAAATCAAGTTGTCATTTTTCTGTTTTCACGCTTAGCTGAGATTATTGAAGGTCAATCTTTATATAGTTTCCTGATCATTACTTCGATCCTCTGTCATAACAAGTTGATCATCAGTTAAATCAGACCAAGATATCGTTTCCTACTAGACTGAGATCCAGTCATATAAAGTCGTAGGAGGATTATTATAGGCTGAATGGAATACAAATTATATTTTATTAATTGTTAAACACCAGATCAATGTTATTGTGCCATTTTTTATGCATCCTTCAAGATAACAAACTTTCGGTACAAAACTTTCAAGGTTTGCAGGTGTGAATAATCAATTATTATATTTATATGTATCAATTTTAAACAAGGTACAAAAACCAATTCAGCCCATATTTGTCCAAAGGCAACCCTAGTTAGTATTAAAGAGCATGCTTTTAGCTTTCATTTGACATACATTTCATCATAATAGGAGACAATAACAGATAATCGTCAGCTTGAGTGCATTACGAAAGAAGCTAAGTCATACTTGTGCACATGTGGTGTTCTGTATGTGTAACGTGTGGAGGGTGGGTTACCCCCCCCCCCCACGGCACTTAGGCCTCACTAGGCACAGTGTGCATCCTCCTAAGTCAATGGACACCTCCTAGCTTGCGAACCCCAGCCTACAGACTTGATGTAGTTGTCAACGTCGCCAAGAGGTGCTTATCTTATATCGGCCGTGTTAGAGTGTGGATTCTGACAACCCAGTGCTATGGAGATGCTTCCATACTTGGCAATGGTCAGTCAGAATATCTGTGTTAAGGTAACTTAAAAGCTCCCTGGCAACTCTGCAGCTTCATTCCCATTTTTCCTTGAACTTCACAAAAGAATGTTCTTTAATTAGGTTTGTCACTACTAATCTCTGTCCAATAGAAGGACCAAGTCCCAAAAGTATTTGGTTGGCTGCTTTCTTGGCTGTCGAATCCGTAAGATGTGTGGTAACCTTTGATCCATCTTAAGGTGATCACATTGTTAAAGGATACACACACGTAGTATTATTCAGCCTCATGTTTTCAACTATAACTTATGCTCCTCTTTCGTTTAGGATATATGTATTTACTATAAAATACCGCTTCAATAACCATAAAAATTTTGTAATATTGTTGTACAGCATTCAAAATAATGAAGGGTTGGTAAAACAAAAGCACACCAATGTTGGTCTGGTCTTTAACAATTTATAACCAATATTTTTCAATTTATCCTATAATAATAGCCCATTGATTTTATACAACCGGCTCTTAGACTATATGCTTATTCCTAATTTTTGCAAAGTTTTTTTAAAAATTCCAGCTATATACATTTATTTTAAGAATAATTTTATCCTTTACAATGAAAACAATAATAGACCATTTAGATTTGAAAAAAAAAAAAAAGAATTTGCATGTATTTTAAAAATAGCAACAAAAAAAAATATTTAAAAATGGCAGCTATAATATCATATATTTATTTTAATATTAATTTTATCATTTACAATGAAATCATTTCGATTCTAAAAAAAATAAATCCTTATTTATTTTAAAAATAGCTATAAAAATATTTAAATTCAAAACAACCTGGTATTTATAAATTGTTAGGTAATGGAGAACCTCGCAAGATACAATAAAAAAGGTCATTTGTGGTTATCATCTATTTAATTAGTATGTACATGCCATAAGGCTGTGTTTATTTGAAATAATTCCATCATTAAATTGTTAATTAACTGTTTGATTTATAGTTTTTTCTGTCCGTAATTTATTTTCATTTCAACAAAAACAGTCTTAAATCATTTCAATAATAATAATAAGATGTAAAATAAAATGAGCAATTTTTCTCTAATAAAAAACCTTTTAAATAGTAGTTAATTGCTAGTAATATTTATGAAATTAATTGTTTCCGTTCTTTTTTTAATATGTTTTAATATTTTTTTTCCAATAGTCTTTAACACCAGTGGAACCTTTAGCCAGGCGACGAGAAAGTAGTGTAAGTAGAACAAAAAATACACTTTTTTTATAAAAAATGCCAAAATGTTTCAGTGTTTTTTTCTTGATTGATACATCTTAATATAAGTAATTTTTTTCACTGCAGTAAAAATATTGGAACTGTGAGCTATTTTTATACCTTACCTTTTTTTAAATTTTGCTGAACAATTCAATTTTTTTTTTACTTTACAACTGCTTAATCAATTTCATTGTTAACACCTTATAAAATCACTGAACAAATGATTAACTGCTTCATATGCGGTGATTTGGTAGGATTTATGTATATCAGTAACTTCTAATCTGATTATGATTTTTTAAATTTCTGTAAATATTGTATGGATTAAATATTTTTTTTTAGTTTAAGGATATTCCAAAATTGGGAAGCGTCGATTCCCCGTTCTACCGACAAAACATCGGACTACCTGGAACTTATCCTGGATACACTCCGGGTTTAATGCATCCAGGCCTCGCTTCTGGACCTACGCCGTTTGTGCCACCTAATCATCTACCCACGTTCCAACCTAAGGTAAGATTCATATTTTCAATTCTATTGGGACATGCCACTAAAATGTGTTATTCTCAAAAACACATTATTGTAACATAAATATTGTTAATATAAAAGATAAATAGACATTAAAATACTTTATTAGGTATATATTTTGTGATTTTGGAGAATAATATGATGGTGGCATGTGTAATAGGAAAATTTCGTTGATCAAAAATCATTGTGCTGTCAAGCATGTGCCATGCTGTCCCCTTAACATCGCTTTTCTTTGTCCACAGTCGATGACCCCTCAAGATCCAAACAAGCCCAAAATAGTGGTATGTAACAATATTTTGTTGGAATTTGGTAGTTCGTACGTCAATATTTTTTACATTTTGATACATTTCGAATAAATGGTATTTTGAAAATGGTAACAAAGAAATGTTTTTCTAATTAAAAAGTATTTGAAAAAAAAAGTTGGTCTATAAAAAATGAAGTTTATAATAGTTCTAAGAAAGATAGTTTAGAAAGTTTAATAGAATTAGATTTTGGTATCTATTTTTAGCGCAACTTTTTGCAAATTGTCTGAAGACGTCAGTTTTTTTATGAAATTCCAAGAAGCTTAAAAGTAACATGAAATGTTCATTAAATTGGTGGAGATATTGTAAATAATTAGTTAATTTGCCTTTCCTGGCTGCTTTTTCAATTAAAAAAAGGCATTTTTTAATATTCATCGATGTCATCCAATGTTCATCAAAATTGTTCTTTTATTCATCAACAATTTTTAGACAAATCATACATCTGATTCTAAAATTCAACTAAATTCTCAGATGGTTGTCACCAAATCCATCTGTTGTTTGTGTTGATGGATGATCAATTAGACATAACCTTAAATTATTAGATATATAAGAAAAATCTTTATCAATGTTGGTTCTAAATAAAAAAAAACAAGGTGTTCATAGTTTTCGAAATTATTAGTTTTTTTCTTTAAAAATTTCAAAATTCTCAAATGTTAAAAGTCAGTCGTTCTTAGATCCAGATTACATCAGTCCGTCATTTATTAGTCACGTGATTCAACAGTACAAACATTTTATAGAATATTAGAAAATGCCTAAACTGCTTATTCATCACATCATAAACATTTAATTCATTTTTTGTTTGCTCGATTTTTCAGTATTTCCTTATGTAACAATACTCTGTAAATAAACTATCACTTTTTATAAAAATACTTTTTTTTGTTTTATTGAATTTTAAAATTTTAACTAACACGATTTGTTAGACCAATATATTGTAAAAAAATTCTGCTTCTGTGTAAATATGAAACAATATGTTTATTACAGATAGAAGGAGTATGATGACAAAAATAAAATAATTTGAGCAACCTATTTTATTTTAGAAATAAAAAAAATACATCAATATTTATTGGTCAAAAGATATTAAAATTCATTTTTAAGGGAATTATCAGTTTTAAGTTTGAATAACATTCTGAATATTTTTCAAATAATTTGTTTCACGCACAAATTAACCTAACATATTTCCGATGTTTTACATTTTAATAAAACAAAAAATGGTCTACTGAGTATTTTCCACATTTCTTCATGTAACATGATTTTTTTTTTAGAAAACCGGTAAATGGAATGCCATGCACGTACGAGTCGCCTGGGAAATCTACCATCATCAACAGAAGAGCGGCGAAGCTAAAGGTAGCTTAGCCAGCGCTACGGCGGCAGCGAAAACATCCGCGGATTTATTGAGGCCGCCTACGCACCTTTTCTCGCCCAGCGTTCACGCTAGACCGCCCCACGAGCTGTCGCCGTTCCAGATGTCTTTGGCCAATCACAGGCCGCCTGGCTTTGATCAGCCACATCATCCCGGCTCCTTGTTTACATCGCCGGCAGGGCATTTAGGTAAATATGCAATATCAATATTTTTTTTTTTAAATTTACAGGAAGATTTTTTTCAGAATATACCTTTTTATTGTTATAGCCTTTCATCTCACTCCTTACCCGGAACAGGTTTTGTTTTTGCTTACTCTTGGGTAAAAGAAATGTACTGTTTCATCCCGGTTTTACAAGCTTGTCTGGATTTTTCCCGGATTTAAGCATCAGTCCCAAATAGCTTAGCTTAAAGATATTTCAGTTAGTGAAAGATTGGTCGGAATTTTTAATTTTTTGGCTGAAAATATTTATACTTTTAGAAATATCTTAAGTATGGTTAAATATAGTTTGTGCTAGCCAGAAACGTATGCACATCTTGATAGGATTTTTAGTCTTCGAATCTAATATGGAGTAGTAAAAAAAATCACAACGAAAGTGAAAAAATTTAAATCAATTATCTTTACAAAGTGTAATTTAAAATTTAGTTGTATGAGTTTTATAACTACCTTTTTTCTTGCTGCAACTTCTATCTTGTTTTAAGATGTTGGAAAGTTGATTACCTTATCCTTACCATATATAGTATTATTAACATGTTTTGTTAGTCTGTCAGCAATGGAATATAGTAATTAAATGTGTCTTGTTTCAATTAAGAAGTTTCTTCCCCTGAAAAAGTGTGAGAAAAAACAGGGTTACACTTTGTTCATGTGGTATGAATGTATGTTCATTAGTTTATGTATTACTTTTAAAATACTTTATTTCAGTTAAATAATTTTATCTACATCGTCAATAAAATTATTCATTATTTAGAATATTCGTCCTGATCCTCTTGGCTGGAGTAGGGGGGCCTTGAATGACGTCCTGTCCTTAACCATCTATGCACAATGTAAATTGCTGAGATTTGTTAAACATCTGAGAATTGATCGGCAGTTTCGTTTCGTAGTTGTGTCTGATGTTAATTATGTTTTGTCTCCCTAAAAAAAATAAGGTTGTCATTAAATGAATTTATGTAGTGCAAACTTGTGATCAGAACGTTGATCCAGCCGTCCGATTAGAGATCGAGGGGCCACGTTCAACACTTCTCTCAAGCCAGTGTTCTCCTTACTTTCAATTTGACCTTCCATCATACTTTCGTTTGCCTTATTCCCCAGACTTTTTTTTGGCACTTTCACCAAACTTTCATCTTGTGACTTGTCGATGTCTTATATCATTATCATAATGGCATCCAAGAGTTTTTGTCCAGATCGTTCTTATTTAATATCCTACTGCTATTATCATCGCTGTTGTTGTCACTCGTCCTGTTCTATATATGTAAGGTGGGTAGGGTGGGTTGCTCCATAGCCCTTAGGCCTCGTACTGTTGTCGGCATATATCTATATATCCTGGATTGTTAAGTTTTCTGGTGGGTAGGAAAATTGATTACAAGTGTCCCCAAGTGATTGGTGTACTATCGGAATTTTCTGCTATTATGTCTGGGGTTTTCAAGACTTGAGGGTGCAGCAGTGTCTTCTAAATAACGATGAGAATCTGTCAAATTTGTTAGAGAGTAAAATCTAAAATATGAAAAAATTGAGATACACCCTTTGGGCTTAGGACGGCAGTATTGACAAGCATTCTATCTCACTCGATTTATTTGTCTCAATTGCATGGGTGTTTAATAATTTGCATGATTACATGATATTCCTGGATAATTCCAATTTTTCATTAAACAACTAACATAATTATTACCACCTAAGATCAAAAACAGAAGCAATTATTTCACACCTCATCTTCAGCATTTTTCTCTTTTTGTTCCAATATGATTGCGTCTTTTTCTGTTTTTAAATCGTCATATTGTTGGTGAAAAGAGCTAAACCAACTAGGTCACTCAATAAATAAATTATGAAAAATATAATGTTGAAGAGAGCTAAGCATTTTGTAATTATAACCTTAAAATCCAAACTGTGAAAGAAGCTAAGTGAAAATACATAATATTTCTTTCAATGGCAAAATATGTATAAGCGACATATATTTCTTTCTCACTTTGTCATATCAATCTTGAAAGAAAGGGTCTGTTTTCGTTTGTACAAAATTTCATTACATTCAGTGAATAAATAAATAACTTTATGAAACGTTGTTTTAATCTAAAAGTTACACACTTAATAACCCATTTTCTCCAATTAGTAAATGTGTGACTTAACTATTATTATTTTTGTTTTATATAGTTACACAAATTTATTAAAATTCATTATTCATTAAAATAATTCATTAAAATTCCTAAAAATTCATTAAATTTCATTCAATAAATTTAATTAAAATTCTTAACCTTTTTAGGAAAATCACCTTTCACCGCGGCTTCCACAATGTCGCCTTTCACGCGATACGGCGGTGGCCCTTTAGGACCTTCGGGGGCGTCGCCGTTTTCAATGTCGCCGTTCGCTAGGGAAAACCATCTGGCGTCGTTGGGTCAATTGCACCACGATCCGTGGAGATCTTTGCAGAGGTCGATGTCTTCATTCCCGCCTTCGGTGAATCCTCTACCGCCGACGTTGCCCGGTTTAGGACCGCCCGGTCCGCCGGCCCCTTGGACCATCAAACCGGATCCTATCTTGGAGCAGAGAGAACGCGAAGCTAGGGAAAGAGAGGAGAGGGAGAGGGAAAGACTCAGAAGGGAGAGAGAAGAAAGAGAAAGGAGAGAACGGGAGGAGAAACAGAGGAGGATTGAACAACAGGTTAGATATTTTTATTGGAATGTTTTTATTTGAAACTTTCGATGTCACCCTTTATATTTGACATTCAAAATGAACCAGATTTATATTCTTGATATCTAATCGATATGCTTCATTACAAATTACATCTTCATTTTTCTGTTTAACAATAGAAGATTTGTTTGGCATCGGTTATTATAGAAGAGCTTGATTTTTAAATTCTATTGGTTAGACTTCGCGTCAGTCATGCTTAAAAATTATTTTTTACTTTAAATGCCTGCGAGTGAAAAACATTGTGTTAAGAGGGAGATAAAAGATAGTATAATTTTGTATGTGTTTTAATCATTTTGCGCTTAATCCTATGGTTGAATGTTTTTGGTTTATACTCTATGTTAACTTAGCAGAATTTTAAAACGTAGTTTCCTCTGGTTTTATATAAATCGATAAGTTTTTAAATACGAACTGATAGTCATATTTAAACAACTTTTTTTTATAAAATTGATTAGCTGTTAATTAATTTCTTTATTTATTTATTCAGCAACAGGAACAACGCGAACGGGAACGAAAAGAACGAGAAAAACGCGAGATGGAAAGGAGAGAATTGGAAAGACAGAGAGAAAGGGAACGCGAAAGGCTTCTTCAAGAACAAAGACTTGCGGAATCGGCCAAGATGCAACCGCCCCTAATGAGGGACAGATCGCCGCTCAGAAACGGAGATATGTCGGAAATTAGAATAAAAGAAGAACCTAGGATAAAAGAAGAAGACATGATGGCCAGAACGGATCCGAGGTATGCCATAATTATCGATTATAAAATTTTGTTTGTTTCATAGCTATGATTCGACTAGATTAACTGTAAAATTGATGAACAAGCTTTTACAGGTACAATCCGTTCCTGCGACATCCCGGCTCGTTGCCGCCTCCCGGACCACCTCAGTCTGTTTTGGATCGATCGAGGATGATGCCCCACGGTTTACCGCCGCACCCGTACCATACGCCCACCACCCATTGGGGCGCCTCACCTCATACGGATCCGTTTTATCGGTACAGTTACAACCCCATCGTCGATGCTATGCGAGCACAGGAAGAGAGGGAAAGGGCGAGTTTCTTTGGAGCTTACGGAGCGCCACATCATCCTAGCCAGTTAAGACCCAAGGTAAGAAAATCGTAATATCTTATTTGGTTAAGAAAGGCACTTTAAAGCGTTTTACTTTGGTAATTTCTGTATTTGTGTTGTTTGTTAGTATTGACATATCAAATTCGCCTAAAATAGTTATTTATGATACAAGTGTAAAAACGTGTTTACACATGTGTATCAGACAAAATATCATCTACGACTTCTAATTTTTGATAATTCACAAATTGAAAAGTCAACGCTTTTTATTTCTTTCAAAGAATAATGTACACACATTTTAAAAATATGAAATATCTTATACAAAACAATGTTTTATTTTATAAAATTAAATTTTTCTTAAAATTACAACAAATATGTTGTGTAACAATAACTGAAGAACACACAATTACCTACTTATTTAAATTATTATTAATTGTTAAATTTGAGCAATTATTTAGATTAATGATCATACTATTTATGTCCGGGCTTTTCATCAGACTTTTATAATAAATGATTTTATTGGTAATTTGTTAAATTTACAAAATGAAGATAAAAAAGAAATAATGGACAATCTAGACAGAGTTCAAAGCATGGAGTCTTAAGAGATACACCACAATTTCTTTCTTGACTCAAAATTTTTAACACTGTGATATTGATAGTTTGTCCTTTGAAACTGAATTACCTATTTCTTCTGCTTCAATACCAAAAATAATCTGAGATTGTCCGTTGCTCCACTGGAATTATTGTATTATAGATTTCTTGACTTTTGACACCAAACATTTTTTTGTTGTTGTATCTTTTTTTGTCGTCTTTCTAAGATCTTGACCTATTACTTCCGAATTGTCCCTTTTTGATTGGTTAAAATAATGTAAAAATATGCAGGTGTGAGAGTTCGCAATGCCGATATGTAGGTGTTACGACTGGTACTTCTATGATCCTTTAACTTGGAATTTATTGTACAGGGTTGGTCTTTTTAGTTTCTTTGTTTCATATATTATTGTTAAAGAGTTACTTGTTTGATTATTACTTAATTAATTAGTTTGGCTCTCCATGATCGGACTAGCCTTATGAATTAGTGCAATATGTTGGATGTATTTCCAACATCAATGTCAGTAACAATTTTAATATTTACAATAACTCAATTGTGACCTATTTTCAGTAGATTTGTAATCAGTTTCTTTTTCTAAATTTATTTTTCTTTGTAATTATTTCTGATTTTCATTCCCCGTTCTGTTCTGTAAAACGCAAATATATTGTTATGTAGGAGAATAATTGTAAAAATGCAAATATTTTAAGGATGGTCATCGATTAAAATAATTTTTTACACTAATTATATTGAACCTGATTATTTATTGTAAAGTTAAAATTTTTGCATTTGCATGTCAGTAAAACATATTTCTAAAGGACTATTATTTTGTAGGATCCGGCGCTGATGCACTTAAGACCTGGACCTGGGCCTCCGCAACAAAATCCTCACAAAATGAGCGTAACTCCACCGACGGACTTGCACAAAAAAGAGGAACCACGATAGCATCGGCAAACTGTGATAAAGACCGATGATGATGGACATTAGAAATCTCAAAAAAAAAAAACCGTTAAAATCGAGAGAAGCACCAAATAATTTTTAATTACTTTTTTTTTCAATAGAGTTGGATAGATCATTTTTTATTGTAAATGTAATTTATTGTGATTCTAAAAAAAACGTATTTTAGCTACAGGGTGCTGGAATTTCGCTGTTTCAAAATCGGTTGATGGAAACTAATGTTAAAAGTTGATTTTCATAACGTCTTCCACCAAAATATTTGCAATTTCGAGTTTTAATATTATGAAAAATTGAGTTTATTTTAATTTAAATCAAATTCTTGAAATAGCAATTTCTGAATTGGGACCAATATATTATTTTTGCCAAAAATTATATTAACGTGAATATGCATTTTTTTGGAACGCAAAATTCCCGCCCCTTCGACTTTTTAATCAAATTTAAAATGAAAACTACGATATCAATTTATAAAATCATTTTTTTATAAAATCATTTTTTTATAAAATCAGTAGAGATTCGAAGGTATCTGACCTTCTCTTATTAAAAAAAAATTAAATGTTAGCGACCACATATTAAGACATTTTTAATTTTATGATCTCATAGCATAATCAAAAGGGACAGCAAATAGGCCCCAGAAGATATTTTTGCAATGGTTTTATAATGTGTATGTAGATATATGCACATAATATCATGTTGTATGCAGAATGTGACAGAAAATTAATGAAAATCATTCTTTTGAAGTCGCATTTTTGCCAAAAAATCTATAATTAAAATTAATTTTAATTCACAAAGAATATTTTACATCATTTTCGTTTTTTGTTTTTTTTTTTTTAATTTTAAAATTTTAATTTATTTTTGTGACATTCTGTAGGCATTGTAGTATTCCAACGATGTAATTAAATATTAAATGTCAAAATGGAAAGTACCATTGTTGCTTTTTGAAATGTAAATTTTGAACGATTTGCGATATTTTTGAAATATAAAGTTAGATGAGGAATAATATGGTATACGCTGCTCAACAACTGAACTGGTGAGTATTTGTGAAGTAATAATTTGAAATAGTAGGGCATCACATCAGGCGAAGGAAGATGGAGATTGATAAATTATATTAAACAATTTTATGATAGTTCCTCAAATGGAAAACCATTCCATCGATTGTTTATGTTCATATCCATCAATTTTCTATACTTTGAACATGTCTTTTTTCTATTTAATCCGGACCTCTCTGTTCATAAAATCGTATCCATTTGTTTTCTTTTTATTATTTTCTGTGATTCTCCATGTTTTACATTCATAGAGCAATAATAAGCCATTGCTTCGAAAATTTTGTTTTCTTCGTGATATTATAATTTGGGGATTGTTGCCTGTAATACTCAAAGTTATTTATCGATGAATTTTCCGTTTTTTCTGCTGACAATGAAAAGAATGCTTCCAGACGCCGATAACATGATATTGCAGTCATTTCTTTGTGTTGGCAAAAGGGATGGTGTGGTAAAAAAAGTTGTACACTTGGCGAAAAGTGACCTGTTTTATAAAATAGGTGTAAAATCGGAACAAAAAGTCGAAAAGTGGTTATGTGCTCCTAATATGTTTGAATTACTCAACTAAGAGTATTTGCCCCTTTTTTTTTATTCATCTTAGGTATTCGAGAAAAAAATGTTAAAATAGTCGGCGTTTGCAGACACTTAAAAGTAGGTTTTTTTTTCAAAAATTTTACATTTTTATGGTATTTTCGAGGCTTGCATCTCTAAGAAAGACTTATTTTAGCTTTAACAATGTAAATTGCAAATATTTTTCACTCCACTGCCACCATCAATCACCCCCTTATGATAAAAATTTCGTTTTCTATTTTTTCGAGGTTTTTGAGTATTACTTAAACAGTTAAAAAATAATTCTATTATGAACATTATTTTGTTTTTTGTATTTTAACCTCAGTGGTAATTGGTGGCATTATCGCTACCTTCCGGGAAGATGGTGAGGATGTGAGGAAGGAGGTCGAAATGGAGTGGAAAATATTTGTAATTTACATAGTTATAGCTAAAATAAATATCTTACAGGTACAAGCCTTGAAAATGACATGAACATTTAAACTTTTTGTCAAATGAAAAATGCTTGCAAGGGCAATACTCTTATTTGAGAATTATACAAACATTTTCAAGTAACTAAACCACTTAGTTCCGATTTTACAGCTGTTTTCGCGTTTTACCATTTTTTTTTGCTTATCAGCCCTTTCGCCAACACAAAAATGCTTGCAATATCATTTTAAATATATCCCGAATGTTGTTGAAAAAAGTAGTCAGTCGGTCGGTCATATGGCTGGAATACCGGACTATAGAAAATACTTGCAAAGGTTTTTATTGTTAGGTCGGGAAGCATATATTCCATTATCAACAAAAAAAATGATCCATGGGTGAGCAACTTTACTTTTGAATTTCACAGGTCACATGACTGCTCCAACTAATAGGACATAGTATATGTTGTTCGCCCACCTCCAAATAGCAAAAAACCGACATGCCACTTTTTGCAGTCAGCTGAGAGACTTTAAGAATGTATACCCACCCAATTATTATCCTTAAATTCTATGGCACTTATTTTCTATAGAAAGATATGAACTATAATTGAAAGAAAATTAACGTTATTTGTTGCTCTCCAATTACATTCACTCAACTTTTTTTATAACAGTTTAATCTGTAATCACCTTAGGCAGGATTTAAGATATTTGAAGTCCTTCCTAGGCTTAATTCATCCATTTTTGGATATAGGCCTCTTCTATATTAACCCATTTGCCACGTATTTCCCATCTCTAGCAAAAACTTAACTGGTGAGCAGTGTATCGGGCATTTGTTAATGAGGTCAAAAAATAAGATTTTTTTTGACCAAATATAAGTTATAAAAGTTCTTATAAGCAAACATAATTGAAAAAAAAATATTTATATTTCAAAATGCCGTTAGAACTTTAACCTGTGATTACCTACAGATTTTAGCTTTGATATCGTCAAAAAACTGAGGTGCAAAAATGTAAAAATTGTAATTTATGTAAATGTCTCTTAATTTCTTTCATTGACATAAGTACATCATAATTTGTACATAAAGTCGATATTGAATTACTTAAATTAAGCTTTAATTAGTCTTTCTCACAATTGCAGGATGTACCAGTAAAAATAATCACAACAATTGAAAACAGTTAACAGATTATGTTGTCAGCTGTCATGGTGATCAAATTGACAGTTGACATAGTACTTAATGTTATAAATGGCCGATGTATGACATGTAGTTCGTAAAAATGATAAGACTTGGAAATATGTGGTTGTTTTTTAGTGTCATCCGGTAAATTTATCGATTCTATGGTGGTAAACGACAATTTCAATTGTATTAGATTCGTCATTATGTTCATGTAGGAGAAGTATTAAGAACTGCCTAAAAGTTATTTGTAAATATTAAAAAAAGCTTATGGACGTTTTAAAAGATTATTCATTGTAAAAATACTATTTGAACAGTTCGGGTTATGCTGTTTTTTACTTTTAACTATTTTTTTGTTTCTTTTTATCCTAATTTATTTTGTACATATTTTTAGGTAATTTATTTAAGACTGATGATTTATCATCTTATTTTTTCAAATAGTCGTGTTTTTTTTTTACTCTGACAGGATGTCGTAAAAGCATCGATTTTAATTATTATTACTTACTATTTTATAATTCTCGTTTATTTGAAAAATTTCCAAAGATTATGTTTTAACCAACATCTTTTTCGACGGTAACATCCAATGTTTTTTAGGACACCCTGTGCATTGTTACAATAGGTGATTTTTTTTAAATTAATTATTTGTTTGGTTTACTTTGTTTTAAATAGTATGCACCACAGTATGCGTAGGTACGTATATATTTATTTTATTTTTAATATAAAAGTCTGTTTTTAATTAATTTTAATACAAAGTGTCCCAAAATATATTGATCAATTTTAATACAGAATGACTAAAAATAAGTATCAAGATGTTGCTTTTATCAATCGGGTTTTAATCATTCCAGTAGGAATGATTAAAATGGGTTATTGGAAACGGCATCTTTATAATTTTATTTAAGTTGGATTCTTTGTTAAATTTTATCAATATACTTTGGGACGCCCTGTATTGTACTGTGGTTCATACAAACGGTTGTGGATTCTCTTCCCATTTGTGACATTGTAAGCTTGTAACTGAATAATGTTCCAAATTTTCCTCAATGACAATGTAGAAATTAAAAGAATAAAAACGAGTTTTTACGAAATAGGCTGGCTTTGAATTGTAAGATTATTTGACGTACGACAGTTATTTGACAAATACGTGAAAGCTAGATTAGAACAGGGTGATATGATAAAAACTCCCAGACCAAATATTAAAAAAATAGGTCTTACCAAGATGAATAGTGGTGCGACTAAAAAAAATCGAAAATGTAGCTACAAACGTTAAATTTAATACATTTGAGCAAAACTGGCACAATTTTAGTTAGAATATATTCCCCAAGATGGCGGATGTGTCACTAAAGCATCTTAATAAGTTTTGCATTCAATAGTGGCACATTTACTTGTTAGAGAAGGTGTCATTATGTTTAAATACAAAACTTGTGATGCTTTATTAGTGACACATTCGCCATGTCAGGGAATATATGCCAACTAAAATTGTGTCTATGGTGCTCAAAGAAAAGGTATTAAATTTAACAAGTGATGCTACATTACTCTATGATTTTTGAAATTTTTTAGTTGTGCCACTATTGCTCTTGGTGAGCGATTAATTTGGAATGTGAGGTTTTATTATAACACAACATCTAGTTGGTCGAAAACGATATTTTTAAAAGTTCTGCAGGTTTTTGGGGAGAAGTTGGACTTCAAATCTCCTGTAGATAAATGCTTTTTAAATAAATTTCAACATGTAGATAAATCACTGTGCTGTATTTAATGTTTGTTAGGAAACAATTTTTTATGTGTATGATTCTGAAAGAATCGCGTGATGTAATATATAATAAATAATATTGTTTCTATAATATTAGAAACATTAGTCATAGTTGGTCTTTTTTTTTAATATTGTTTGAAACCTATTTTTTTTTTCTAAATAATTTCCAAGAACAAGAATGAAGATGTGTGAAGTGTATTATTTAGTCTGTCCAGTTTTTATATAAAAGGTAAGACATTTTTTAATTTTAACAATAATTGCTTATTTGAATCTTTCAAAAACAATATGCTTTTAGTTTCCGTATTCAAACGCATATTGAAATTCAAGTTTCTAGACTTGTAGACAACTTTTCCAGAATTACTTATGAAGACATCCCTATAAATTGCTGTTGCTTTCGATAATGGCCTCTTTCTTAACGTATTATCTGATCTATTCATGTACATACAGCCTTTCATTTCTGATGTTTCTATAATAATAATCATCCTACAATTCAACCCGTTGTGAATAAACCACAGAAAGCAGAGCAGATATCCTTACAAAAAATTAAGCCTCTTGCTTTACATTCAAAATTTGGTTCCTATATTTATTTTATAATTTTACTCAGAGATACCGCCAACATCGATATCACAGAATATGTATGTGGGATCTTTAAATGCGTCTATCCCATCAATAAAGTAATAAATTTTCGTTGGAGATTTATAAAAGTATAATTGTAAAATAAAAATCGATGACATGTCATGTATATAAATTATAGTAAATTCAAGTCGTAGTAACAGTTTTGTTTATCTTCGAATATCTCACCTCTCTGGGCAACCAGGGAGCTACGGTGAAGTGAGTTTAATATTTATCCTGGCAAGACTGCCACAAAAATTGAAGGTTATAGATTTGCAGAAGGTTGATATGAGTGAGGTGAAGGGTAGTAAGTAGTGTGACAGAAGGTACAGGTAAGTGCCGATACGGTCCAGTTGTAGATCAGGAGTGAAGAAACATGTGGTGTGAGGTAAGGGAAGGGATACACTGAAGGATTTGACGGCCGTCCAAATTTTTAAAAATAAACAAAATTATTGATTTACAAAATTTAATCTCTTAAAGTTTGAGACATCAACAAACTGTCTTGCATAAATCCATCATATATTTTTTTAATTTTTACCTTCCAGATTGATTTGTGGTTTCCTATGATGTGGTTCATGGGTTTCTCCATTAAACAAACATTTTTTTCCAAAAACTGAACTACTTTATGCAAAAATTTCCCAAACACTTTGTTGGTGGAATAATTTTCAGCAGATTTAGACATTAATTCTACTAATCTGTTAATGGTGTTGATTTCAGTTTGATCTACCAATAAAATGTCAAGAATCGCTAAGTGGTATTCTTCCAAACTTTTGCAATTTAAGACAAAATTTCTGAAAAATAAAATGCAAAATGTAATTCAAGTAACTGGATAAATTACCACTAACTCCATACCTTAATAATTTATTTTTAAATTCTACAGATAACCCATCTATAAATTGTAAAGTAGCCCTTGAGTAATTGTCAGAAGAACTTAGTATGTAGTTAGATAGCTCTTCTGTTAAAATTTCTGGATATTTTATGCAAAATATATTCAGGTTATCCTGAAGTTTGTCTGAATATTCCAATGCAAGCTGAAAATAATTATATTCAATAAAAACAAACACCACTGTATTCACTGAAAATCCAATTGCTCTGGGAATTATGACTTTTTAAGTAATACCATGGAAAACATGACAATATTATTCAATTGAATTTTGATATATTGGGGGTGCCACACTAGGACAGGGTGTTCAAGTTTACATCTTATAAATGACGAATATCTAGCAAAACTACTCTAATTTCTAAGAATATTTTATTTTTATTCACCCCTTAGGTATCTATTATAACATTAAATTTGAACTTTAAACTACGTATTTTATGTCCTGAATTTTCTATGGTCTTAAAAACAAAACTATTACAACTATTACCAGAACCATCAGATAAATCACCTAGAGCAAAAAGGAAGCCTGAGAAGACAAACAAATAATGAAACAACAGCCTATTTCCGCCCAGGTGTTAATCAACCATTTAAAAATAAATTGGAAAGATGTATATACCTGTTTAATTAACATATGCCTCACATAAGACAAAATTATCTCATCATTGGTGATACTGTGAGAACTAAGTAAAATCCCCAAATCTATAACATTTTCAAAACTTAACTCTTCAAATAACTGTTTAAAAATGTTAACAAGATCCAAATTATGCTTGTGAAGATCTGATATCACATGGTCAGCTGCTGTTTTTTTACTTTGTAGGATTTCTTTGATGGCATCAGATATATCATCTGCCACAGTTTCATTAAATGGTTGTATACTATTCTGTAAGATCTGTGATACAAATTCATTTGCTTCTTCTGCATTTAATTGCTCTTCATCGCTATCTACAATGTCTATTATTTCGGTCTCTTCTGAAAGTTTATCTAAAATTTGTTTCTAATTTTTTTTTATTAATTTATAAATTTTTTATGCAGCCAGGTAGGGTCTGATTACAGTAAGAAGAACAAAGCTATGTCATCATTTGGCAAAGTAATTATTTGGTTATCGCCGCCTACTAGGGGTTTAGTGGAGTGTTAATAATATAGGAAATATTGTTATATACCTAACAACTTACTTATTTTTTATTTATTGATAGTTATAGATAATATGTATTCGAAATTCAAAGTAATGATTATGACGTAGCAGTGTTCCTCTAATTGTAATCAGACCCTATTCGTTAGGGTTGCCACCTCTCTGGGTTTCACTCGGAAATTCCGGGTTTTAATTATATGGTTTTCGGGCTCCAGTTTTAATAGATATTTTTTCTGGGTCAAACCACATTTCACCAAAATAAATATATATATATATATATATATATATATATATATATATATATATATATATATAGCGCCTTAGTATCTTCTTGAACCAATCGTCTATATTCGACAGTAATATCCTGAACCATCCGAACAAACCTGAGCCGTATATGTGGTTCAGGATGGGAGACCCTTATAAAACACTTTAAAATACCCTGTAGACTGCCTGGAGTAAATTTGAAAATGGCTCAGATTTGGACGAAACTCCAATCTTTAGTTCCAACATTTTCCGCATTCTGGGATGGTGGCGCTCTAGTCGCCTCGATTTGTATATCTGTATAACAACAATCCTGAACCATTGCTTGTATGCAGCCGTAGCGGAATATTATTAGATTCTTTTAGCGGCTTACAATATTTGAACACGTTAATGACCAAATCGGTCCATGTGGACCGCTGTGAAAACATTGTACAAGTACAAGACCATGGCGGTCCTTAGGGATCGCCTTAAAAAGTTATGAACCTTTCGTAAAATAGTTCGTGCCGCTTATTAGTAGATATTTTCATAGAAAATGGACCGCTTATCCTGTAGATTTTGTCATAAAAAATAGACTGCTTTGTCTATTAGATTGTTATTAAAAAAATATAAAATACCAAAACTAACCGAAATTATTATAATCTGCCAAAAAAGTGTACAATATGTCAAGTAAAATGCTTCTGCGTGAATGTGTTGAAACCCGTAGCGGAATTTAATACAATAGAAAATAATACATTGTGTAGTACTTATACATATACCCACAATTTTTACCGCTTATTGCTTATTTCAAAGACGAAATCTGTCATCTAAATATATAAAATAGTTAGTCCTGACGGACTAGCTGATCTATCAACGCAGAGCCAAAACTGCCAAGTCTAGAAAGCTGAAATTTAAAACATAGATTTATTTAATAACGTAAATATCCCCTAAGAAAATATTTTTGGAGACTTCAAATTTAAGAAGGGAAAACTTTTTATAAAAGTAGGTTCTTTAAAGTTAAAAACAATAAAATTTGAATTACAATTTAATTAATAGCGACGTATTTCACGGTTTTGGGTTTTCACATTTTAAGAGCGAAACGGAAGAAAAGGAAAGTTTGAATAGAAGTATCGATTTTTTAGGTAGGAACTTAAAAATTGAAAATTGGTACCACTCATCATAAATAAACAATGACGTGCATAGGGGTTTTTGTATTTTAAGGGGACAGTGTGGGGTGAAAGTTTGTATGGGAATATCGTAAAAATAATAATAAAAATAAATTAAAATAAACAAAAATAATTAAAAATAAATAAATAAATAAATGAAATTAAATTGAAATAAAAATAAATAAAAAGAAATACAAATAAATAAAAAGAAATACAAATAAATAAAAAGAAATACAAATAAATAAAAAGAAATACAAATAAATAAAAATAAAAAAATAAATAAAAATAAATAAAAATAAATAAAAATAAATAAAAATAAATAAAAATAAATAAAAATAAATAAAAATAAATAAAAATAAATAAAAATAAATAAAAATAAATAAAAATAAATAAAAATAAATAAAAATAAATAAAAATAAATAAAAATAAATAAAAATAAATAAAAATAAATAAAAATAAATAAAAATAAATAAAAATAAATAAAAATAAATAAAAATAAATAAATAAAAATAAATTAAAATAAATAAAAATTAATAAAAATAAATAAAAATAAATAAATATAAATAAATAAAAATTAATAAAAATACAACAATAAATAAATTTAAATAAATTTAAATAAATTTAAATAAATTTAAATAAATTTAAATAAATTTAAATAAATTTAAATAAATTTAAATAAATTTAAATAAATTTAAATAAATTTAAATAAATTTAAATAAATTTAAATAAATTTAAATAAATTTAAATAAATTTAAATAAATTTAAATAAATTTAAATAAATTTAAATAAATTTAAATAAATTTAAATAAATTTAAATAAATTTAAATAAATTTAAATAAATTTAAATAAATTTAAATAAATTTAAATAAATTTAAATAAATTTAAATAAATTTAAATAAATTTAAATAAATTTAAATAAATTTAAATAAATTTAAATAAATTTAAATAAATTTAAATAAATTTAAATAAATTTAAATAAATTTAAATAAATTTAAATAAATTTAAATAAATTTAAATAAATTTAAATAAATTTAAATAAATTTAAATAAATTTAAATAAATTTAAATAAATTTAAATAAATTTAAATAAATTTAAATAAATTTAAATAAATTTAAATAAATTTAAATAAATTTAAATAAATTTAAATAAATTTAAATAAATTTAAATAAATTTAAATAAATTTAAATAAATTTAAATAAATTTAAATAAATTTAAATAAATTTAAATAAATTTAAATAAATTTAAATAAATTTAAATAAATTTAAATAAATTTAAATAAATTTAAATAAATTTAAATAAATTTAAATAAATTTAAATAAATTTAAATAAATTTAAATAAATTTAAATAAATTTAAATAAATTTAAATAAATTTAAATAAATTTAAATAAATTTAAATAAATTTAAATAAATTTAAATAAATTTAAATAAATTTAAATAAATTTAAATAAATTTAAATAAATTTAAATAAATTTAAATAAATTTAAATAAATTTAAATAAATTTAAATAATTTTAAATAAATTTAAATAAATTTAAATAAATTTAAATAAATTTAAATAAATTTAAATAAATTTAAATAAATTTAAATTTGTTTAAATTTAAATGCATTGGAATAAATTCATATAAATTTAAATTAAAAAAATAAAATAAATTAAAATAATTTAAAATAAATTTAAATTGAATACAAAATATGTTCTTCGTAACTTATTTTGAATAAAAATTTAACTTATGATAAATTAACTTATTATAAATTAGATTACATTTACCCCTTTCACCCTACTATTTTCTATTCATGTCAAAACAGACCCTTAAATTATATATTCGTTTTTTAATAAATATCACCTCAAAAGCGAATCTAGAAAAACCAGAAACAGAAAAATGTTCAAGATTGGATTGTTTAATTTTGAAAATTATAAAATAATTTTAAATGCCTCTGAAATCTTTACGAAAATAAATTAAAATACTTCTTACAGTGAACTATAAATTGAAATTAGAAATATAAAATACGTTAAAATGAGTTTTACATGAAGAAGTGTTATCTGAATATGAAATGTTGGCAGTCAACGTGTTAAAATATCCTGTGGACCATAATTGCTTTTTAGTTGTAAACATAAATGGTTCAAGATAGTACAAGACGTTTGGTTCAGAAAAGTGTTTTTTATTTTGTCTTAATTATATAAATGGTTCAAGATAGCAAAAGACGTTTGGTTCAGGAATGTGTTATTTATTTTGTCTAAATTATATAAATGGCTCAAGATGGTACAAGACGTTTGGTTCAAGATTGTGTTATTTATTTTGTATAAACTTTTTTGCTAAAAATTGTTTTTTTGTTGTATATTTTGCAAAATTAGGAAAGTTTTATAAGAACTAACATATATATGCGGACAAATAGACGGAAACTCATTGTTTTCCTAGTGGAGCAGTTTTGTATGAAACTACAATTGGCTCAGAAAGGATATAAAGATGTATATATATATATATATATATATATATATATATATATATATATATATATATATATATTTATCCAACCGACGTTAGTAGTCCAACGATATTCATCAGACAACCTTAGACCCTCTAGAAATAATAGGTTATTTGAAATATATAATTTAAAATTCCGTTAATTATCAATTTACAATCACAAACAACAATAGAGGGGTAAACAAAACTAAAGTTAACTATTTTTGACATAGTTAACAATCGTTAAGAGGTCCGACATATGCAACAGTTCTTTCAGTCAAATAAATACAAAATGTAAGTACTTCACCGACCTTACCAGACCACGCACCGTTGCCAATTGGTAAGTAGGTACGCGGGATTGAAAACACATTTCAACATATTGCATAAGTATATCTTTGGCATTCAGCGATAAAACATGTATCGTGGAAAATTGCTAGTAAGACTCGTCAGATAGTTTGATATGGCTGAGAGAAATTATGAAAATGTTTTGATTTTTTCCGTATTTCTTGTAAATTTTTAAGTCATTAGTTTTATTATTATTTATTTTATATACAAGTCTGTGTAAATCTAAAGTTCCGCATAAAATCGTTTTGGGCAAAGGATTTTTCATGTTTATTTTTATAATATTTAAATGATAAAGAAGGCAGCAAAGCACCTAGGTAATTATACTTTTATTATTGATCCAAATTAATTTTTTTTTACGATAGTCAAGAACGAAAATTTTCAGGAAAAATAAGCTTTATAAGAAGACGAAGCCTATTATTAAAAAAAAAAAAAATTAATCAGAAATTGGGGTAAAAGGCGCTTGAGATATTAAAAAACTAAAAATGAAACAACTTAAAATTTTCAGAAAAATGTGTGTGCGTGCGTGTGTTTGGGTCTGTGTTTGAGTTGGAGTTGAAGTTGGAGGTGGAGTTGGATGTGGAGTTGGAGTTACGGTTGGAGTTTTTTTATTTATAATAAAGAAAAAAGTGAGTGAGTAATGAGAAAAGTGTCCCGTTTA